CTTCCCAACGTGCACCCGAACGCTGCCAAAAGTCTATGGCAACGTTTTTCGCGCGTTGCCATAGGTGGTTTCTGGTGTAGTGATAGTTACCTATCACAATTAATTCGTCTAATAGACACAAAAAGTCACCAATTAAGAAATCCTCTCGCAAATATATGAAGCCACGTGCTTCAATCTAACTTATCTAAAGTTATATCTTCTTCCAATTCACAATTTGTTCGGAGGATTTCCAACACATACCTGTATTGGCCATAGTAAAATAATTTTACTAGTGAATTTTGAATAAGTGATAATAGGTATTCAATTTACATCATTGAACCATTATCAACTATAGTACCATTTGTCAATTCTAAGATCTAGGAAATTAAAAAAAATCATTTTTAATTATTCAATTTTAATAGCAGACAAAAGGAAGTCATAATATCCTATGACCAGTTTTAAGCAGTTTTGATTGCAACGTGCATATTGAATCTATATTCTAACGATTTTAATTAATTGCATAAATTAGCTAATAGATTAAAACTTGAACATCAGATGTAACGTGGTAAATCCTAAAAAAAAAAAAAAAAAACATCCACGGGCTCTATGCCATAGGTCAAATAATACATTAAATCAAACAATAAAAAACACAAAAGTCTTATTTTTGTAACTTCGTAAAATTAATGAAAAACAATCAAAAGAAATCTAAAAACAACTCCCTTGTATCTTTTTCTTTTGACTTGTTATCAAATGGAATCAAACCTCCCAATTTTGACTTTATCGCCTCTTCACTATTATACTCGATCACAACAACCACTTGGATTAAGAATCTCCATTCTTAACTCACGTCAAGTAGTTTGATCTATGAATATGATTGTACATTAATGCTTGTTTGTTTTATCCAAATATGTGGAAGAAGACGGTTGACTTTAAATATAATCAATGAAGCATAGAGTCCATTTGTCCTTGCATGAATACGGCAGAACTTTGCACAGCAGGTCGCGGATGTGTGTAGAAGTTTTTCAAAGCTGTGTTATTTCTCTTATTTTCTTCCTTTACGTATGTAAAGCAGTCAGCAAGATTATAATAAATTCTTACCATCCAGTCGGTTACAATTGAAGCCTTGATAACTACGTTTTACATACTTATTTTACTGTCAAAACATGAGCAATTGTTGATGAATATGTTGAATATAGCTTAATTATATATAATTCATGTTTTGCAGGACAAGTGATGAATGTGGCAGAAATAATGAAAAATAAGTGAAAAATAACCCGAATGGAAAAAAGTGAAAGTACAAGGACTAAAGTGCAAATACTCAAAAATTATGTGGTGACTCACGATGAAGGTTCGAGAGTGCTAAGGGTCGATTGGAGACTAATAGAAGAAAAAAATGAATGGAATATTATCAA